ATATTCACAACAAGACGTTGCATAGAACGTTTAAACATGCTTTGCCCAGCTTCCTGTAATGTAAACCTTTTAGTGACTTCCTTTGCCCTGTGAATAAGCTCCACAATTCTGCACTTGACCTCCAGAGCCCTTGATCTTCCCTCAACTTGCTCTGCCATTGTCCCTAAGGGCCCATTGTCTGCACCACAGTGACTACTTGCAATTTTTCAGCTGAGCCAGACCTTAAGCTGCTTGTAGCTTTTGCCCCCAAACTTCTCCCTGCATAAAATCCTTTGTTCCTTACTCCCATTTTTCTGAGCCACTAACTATCCTTTATCCTTCAGTCCTCAGCCTTATTCTTCCTTACCTGCTGAGTCTTTCTTGACCCTTCATTATTCAGTTCCATAACATCCTTTTCTCTTTAGGCATAGCCTTGTGATCTAAACTGTTTACATGTGGAACTTCTCAAGACTTCCCCACTCTGGACACTAATAGACACAATATGGTAACTTTGTTACTTTGCCTGTCACTAAAGCCAAACCCAGTGCCTGCACATAGTAAGTCACTCAGAGTAAAAAATATATATGCCCAGGCATTAGTTCTTTTTCTGTCAAGGAAAAAAAAAAGGATCTTTGTGGGCTGCCTCTGAGTTTCAGCCTCTCCCCTTTGTTTTACTCTCCACTCAAATATCCATGAACTTGTTCTGTGCTCAACCCAATTACAATAAGGTCATTTAATTTCCTCCTTCAATAACAGATTGTGACTTGTAATTCATTTAGCAGACATTGGAACCTGAATATATACTGATTAGGTTCCCAAGCACCAAGCTTGTTATAATAAAGCCATAGAAAAGATGTCTCTTGAGGAGAGGCTGGGAAGTGACTGTTTCTGGCAGAAAATGTGTTTTGTCTCTTAAACTTAAGCTTTGGAGTCATTCATGAATGAGTAATGAATTCAGGAAGATCAATGAAGCATTCTCTTAACCCTCTCAAACAATTTTGCTGAAAACCAAATAAAAGGAAAGTTACAAGGAAAAGATGATGAGAAATTTACAAAGAGAAGAAATATAGTTGCTGTAACATGTAACTCTTGAGGAATGAAATTGGACAATTCATCTAGTTTACAATGAGTAGTTTTCCAGGCTTCAATCATGAGTCACCTGAGTAATTTTTTTCTTGGCTATTTAATTCCAATGTTTATTTCTTTTATTATTTCCCAAGTGAAAATAAAATAGCATGCAAAAGCCAAGGATTTTCTTCGTATTATTCTTACTTTTTAAAGAAAAGGGGCAAGGGCTGGGAATGTGGCTTAGTGGTAGAGTACTTGCCTAGCATGCATGAAACCATGGGTTTGATTCCTCAATATACAGAAAAAGCTGGAAGTGGTATTATGGCTCAAGTATTAGAGTGCTAGCCTTGAGCAAAAAAAGCTCAAGAACAGCGCCTCGGCCCTAAGGTTAAGTCCCAGGACTGGTAAAAGATAAAATAAAATAAAATAGTAAAAAAGAAAAGAAAAGGGACAGAAAAAATGTCTTGGTGGTATTTGCTCTGGGATCTAACTTACAATTTTAATTCCATAAGCTTGTTTTTCTCAAGGAATTGTTTTTAAACTTTGATTATATTCTTCACCCTTCTCTTAATGGATGATGACTTGTCCTTTGTGGAGTTAGGATGATTGGAAATTAAGTAACACAATCAAAATCAAACATTTAAAAAAATTGATGAGTACTATAGGGTTGGCTGAAGAAATTGTGTAGGCAGATTCTAAGAGTAGCTGGTAAGAGCCTGGTCTCTAAGCCCAGGAGTACCTTTTGGTTTGAGCATCACAGAGCAGTGCTAAAGCTGTCTTACCTCAAGTTCCTGAAGCAGCTAATATTAGTTTTGGCCAAGTCATGCAGAGTTGCTATCAGGCGGTGCCACCACCTGGAATGCATTGATTCATAGTGTGGGTGGGCAATAAAATTTCTTACCTTTTTTTGTTTTGTTTTGTTTTTTGCTTTGGCTCCTAAACTAATTTTCTAGCAGACTTTATATCAACATGTGCTGTACTTCCCTGTGAAAGTCAGGAGGGAAGAGTGTTTGTAAGCAGGGCCTTTCCAGCCCTGGACTATTTTCATGTCTAGAAGAAAATTCATAGTGAACTTTTAGTCATATCTCTTATGGTTTCTGTTATCCTAGGAAGGATCAGCCTCTCATGCCTCCTGCTGTGATAATGTTAAGAGACCATACTAATAATACATTCCACCTTTCTTACAGCGATTTCAAAATACTTCCAGGGTGTTCAGTTGAACAGCTAGGAGTAGAAAGTTGAGTCTTTTTCAAATATCTGTACCAAAAGTAAAAGCTGAGTGCAAACTCGCTAGAGGACAACCCTGAGAACAAAGATAGGCGCACCCATCACCTGCTGGATGCTTTCAGTGAGCAGCTCCTGGGCTGGCTGTGAGAGAGAGCTCAGGCAGAAAGTAAGAGAAGGGGACACCTGAGCTGCCTCTCTGGCTTCTCTTCTGCCTCAGTGACCTCCTCAAGATCTGTGAACAATTCCTTTTATCCTCTTTGGTTTTTTTTCTTTCTTTCTATTGGGGTTTGAACTCAGAGCCTCATGTTTGCACTATACAGAGTGATCTGTACGCCTAGTTCTTTTCTGCTTTTTGGTTATTCTTCAGAAAAGCTTGAAATAAGGATACTGGGTTTAACTGGCGCCATCTTGGCCACGTGGTAGATGATAGGGAATTAGGTTTAACTGGCACCATTTTGTTTTCATGGTGAAGGAAGGTGAAGTCCCACTCCCAGGTGATAGGCATGCCTGAATACCTGCTGGGGCAGGGACTTGGACCATAGGTTACTGGGCCTGCCAATCCTGTGCCATGAACTTGCAAGACTCCTAGCTCCCTGTGATCCTGCCCTTGACCAGGACACTGTTTAGGCCCTGAACAACTCAGGCCCCATTTTGTGCCATGCCTCATAGTCTGCTGACTCTACCCAGGTCACCATGTTGTCCCACTTCAGCTCTCCATTGGAGTTGATCTGGTTTGTTGGGATTGTTTTTCTGCTCTTTCTTGCTGCTTGTACTCTCATGACTCAGCTTCCTAACAGTGTTAAGTGTATTAAAGGCTGCAGGTTTTCTGGGGACATAGTCAGTGGCTTTAAAGACCTCTCAAAATATGGCTTCTCTGTTTCTCGAGATTGAATTCCCAGCCTTAGATTGTGATCCTCCTACCTATATCTTCCTAATAGTTAAGATTACAGGTGTTTACCATCATTACTCAGCTTTTTTGTTAAGATGGAGTCTCAGTAACTTCCGTTCAGGCTAGCTTTAAACCACAAACCTCTAAATTGCAGCCTCTCAAAGTGCCTGGGATTATAGGCCTGAGTTATCAAATCTAGCTGATGGCTTCCTTTTTTAAAAAAATTTTATGGTTCAAGGTGATGTACAGAGGGGTTACAGTTAGCTACATACTTAAAATAGTGAGTACATTTCCTGACAAACTTGTTATCCTCTCCCTCATTTTTCTCACACTTGCCTTCCTTTCTTGAAGTACTTCTCTAACCCTGGCACGCTAGAAAACTTGGGCCTTAATTTTCTGGGATCCAGAGGATAGCAACCCATTCCATTGTCCACAATGGCCTAGGCATGGGTTGACTGGCTTCTTCCACATTTTATCCAAAGAAGGGAAGGGCAGTTGGAAACTGAGATGTTGATAGAGAGCTACACTCAAGGTCCGTAATGAATGGATGAATGGATGAAGGTCCTAGGGCATAAGCTGTCAGTTCCCAGTTCTTACATTTGATGGTTTTTTCTAAATCAATGTTGTTGTGCCACTTGGAGGAATGATCTTAAGTTCCTCTGACTTTTCAGTTCTTTTTATCAGGCCCCAAAGCTCACTTTCTCTGTATCCCTTTTCTCAGGTCTGCCTTGTATTCATTGCTCCTCTGTTAGCATATTTCACTATGGCTCCCCTATGTCATTTTAAAAGGACAATTCCTCAGTGTACAAAGCAGACTTTTCCTGCTCTTTAAAAGATTTTAGCGCCCCAGGCACTAAATGCCACAGATGAGCCGCTTCTTGAGTGTAACCTATTCAGAGATACTCCTTCTCACTTTCAGACATACCTAGGACAAGGACTAAGAAGTACCCCACTGGAGAACCACTGCTGGAAGCTGAGCAGCGCATCTTCCTCACCATATCCCTCCTTGCCTTTAAAATTCCACCCAGTTTTCAGCAGAAAGGATTCCCTGATGGATTCATTTCTTTAATGTTTACTCAGCAGCTATTTACCTAGACACCTGTTAATAGTCCCAGACACTGTTTGAAGAGCTGCAGGGTCCATACATACACTACTTATCGTTCATCTGTACCTTCCTGACTGGTCCCACCTTAATCTTTTCATTTTCATGTTGCTTAAAATATGTTTCTGTCATGAATATGCCCACCCACACCCCTTCTCCCACTGAGTTGTTTTAAAGCAAATCCCAGCATCATACAATATCTGTAAATATTCCAGAATGGACCTTTAAAAATCTCTTTCAAAAAAATACTCACAATATTATTACTATTCCTCAAAAATCAATAATCCTGAGATTGTAGTGTTCCACTTTCAAACTGTGGAGACATTTTCCAATCAATCTAAAAAGAAAGTAAGAAATTACACCCTAACTAAAATAGTGGCAGGGAAATAGGGAGGTAGGAAAAAAAAATTAAGTAATGAGAAAATGATTCCAGAGAATAGCAATACAATAGCTCCGGTCTTTGCTCTTTATCAAGACCTGTCCAATCCCAGGGGTCTATTACTTGGGACCTCATGCTCGCCTCGCCCCCTGGTGATACGTGCACATTGCCATAGCACTCATTACCTCTTCTGTAATGCTCCTTTCATAGCATGATAGAGCCCTCTACCGTGTTGTTAGTCGTTTAAAATTTGGCCACATGACAAAAATGTGTGTAACATGGGGTTTTTAAGTGTTGATTGAGCACATAATTTAAAAGTCAGAATATTAAATAAACATCTCTGCCCTTTCTTCCAGCAGGCAGCCCAGAGAACAGCTCTCCACGCTCTATCTGACAGGTACATTTTGTCATTTTTATGAACTATAAATTGCTTTATGAAACATTGAGCCCTATTTATTGTGGTATATAATTCATAATCAGATTTTGTCCCTAAAGAATCTGTGAACCGGGATGTTAAACATTTTGCATGCTTGGATTTGTCATGCATGTGTGGAGTTTATTACTGCAAAAATTGCCTTGTTGTATTTCACATAAACTATGAAGAATCCCTCATTGTGCAATGAAACAAGAGACAAGAAACTTAAGGGAAAAGGCTTGAATGCCCCAGTAAATTCTGAACTTTGGAATTGGTAGAGACCCAAGCTCATTTTCAGCAGTAAATACTCCATGTATTTTAAGATGTTTTCTTCAATCTTTCCATAGCCTTTCACCAAGAGTGATCCATCTGTTGATGGGATTCTCTCATGCAGGACTATATGCAATGTAACTCACTAACTCATAGTCCAGTACACCTGACTTCTTCTTCCCTGATTTAGTTTGTTCAGTTGGTGTTATCAAATGATATATGTAAACCTAATCAAAAACCAAATGGTAATTCATATCCCACTTTGCCACAGTACTCTTCAGGTCATAACTGGAAAATGGAAAGGAAATTTAGACTTCAGCCTGACTTAACCTGGGCACCTCTACCCAGAGTATTGAGGGTGGGATGGTGTGATTTTTGTCCTTTTCTATGTTCTGTGTTCTATAACATAGAATTTCTATAAAACCATAGAATTTTTCCCCATGTATTTTATACCTTTGGGAGTCAGCTGGCCTAGGAGAGGTTCATTGATGCCCCCCATATGACAAAAACTGCAAACAACCAGGTCGGGAGAGGGTAGCAAAATTCTTTATGAGCTAAACCAGTGTCAAGAACATGTGTTTGCAAAGGACCTTATCCTTCTTACATTTTTATTCCTTATAATGTGCCTCACAAATGCCTTCTCTTCTGGGCATTGTATTCAATGCAGGTAGGGAGTGGGGGGGGGGGGGCGGAGAGGGCTACTTGAGCACAAGGCTCCCTTATAAAGGTGAGTCTTTGGTATGGACTCTGCACTGCAAAAGCCAGTAATGTGGAAAATATGCAGTGTGCTGTTGAGAAGAAGTAAGGCTATGTGTGCAGCATATGAAGTACCTTGAATACGATTAACTTCCCTTCATAAGTAGTAAATAGTAGATAACTCTGATCAGAAAGGGGATTCGCATGATTTATCAAGCTGAGCGATTGTGAATTTGCAGAGAAGCTGGAGGTCAATCTAGAAATCTAGGACCAGAGGAGCACAAGGAAATTGCCAGAACTAAGAAGTTAATCATACCGTGGGACTACTTCCATCTGTCTCAGGGCGACAGAGCTGCTGTACAGGAGCAGGCATGGTTTATAGCAGCAGATCAGGAATTAATATTTTCTGCAAAACCTCAAGCATCATTTGCAGTAACTTGGGTTTTATAAAAATGGAGCGTAATTTCATATGAATAAATCACATTCAGCTAGAAATATGAGAGGCAAGAAAAAAACCTGCGCTCGACTTAAAAAAAAAAAAAAAGCAACAAGCAAGAAAACCAACATGAAGGCAGTTGTTGAAGCGATGGCACTTGGAGGGCACAAATAGCCATGTAGTTAAATTGTGCATGTAATCATCTTCTGAAATGTCAGCTTGCAGCTCCAGCCATGGCGACATTTTTGTAGCCCTGGAGATGCATCACCAGACTGTAACCTGTCTGCCCATCTGGCAGTAGCTGAGGTCCAAGACCCATTTATATTTAGATCCAGACAACTGACATTGATTTATTCATTTATTCCACAAATATTTATTGAGCACCAGGCATTCTCTGTAGGGTGCTGTGGGCACAATGAGGGAGAAATGATTGTGCTCACAGCTTTGCTGACCAGACGGAGATTACCTTTGTAAAGAGAGAGGTCTGTGTATCTGCTGCTTTTCATTTTTCCTTCTCTCAAACAAATCTTACAAGTGCTATATACTTTTCTACTAGGGAGAATCGGATGAAATTAGGTAAATGAGAAATAACCTAAAATGAAAGGAGTTTCTCCTCCACCTAGGTAAAAGAATGTGAAATTATCTGTGTCCCAAAACAGAACCTAATTGGCCCACTGTAAAAGAGCAAGGCAAGGTGGGCACCTGACTGGCAGGATGATGGCTCTGTATTTAGCTCTTACCTTCCTAATCCCTAGTTAAGTGGATCCATTTCAACAGATAAACAGGGGTGTGTTGGGGGAGGTGAGGGCACCAGCTCAGGTGCCCTGGGTACCATTTTACTCAGTCCTTGGCAATGTAAAAGGAAAGCCACAGTTGCCCCGTACTGCTAGCAGTTGATCTCTTCTTCAGACGTCAGGAAAAGGGGTAGAGACTCTTAAAAAAAAGTCGTAAATTCCCAAGTTTGACAGTTCCATATCAACCCTGCCCTTGAAGCCCACATTTTCTAGACTCTCCTAAGCAAGTAGCTCCTCATAGCAAAGTCTTTCTGGTATACCATGTGGATAATGTTTTTAAAGGGCTTTAGAGGTTAGAAGCACTGTCCCATTTATGCCATCTCATTTTATGATCCTCACCAAGAGAAATATTTGACCCTTTTTACAGCTAAAACAAAACTTTGAACGTGAGACAAAGGGTCAACAAATGCATCAGTGGTACTCACTAGACTTTATGTTGAAGATGAATTATACAATTTGTGGGTGGGTACAGGAGGAAATAAAAACCTGGGAGAGAGTAAGGGAAGGAATGACATTGTCGAAAAGAAAGGTACTCTTCACCTGACTTAATGTAACTGTAATTCCTCCACACATTACCTTTATAATAACAATAAAAATACTACACCCCTCCACACAGGTGATGTGACTCACATGTGTTGGCCAGGCTGTGACTATACCCCAGGTCTTCAGTGAATACAATTCTCTCACTCTCCTCCATGCAGTAACAAAGCAGATCTGAATGTAGTCACAGACAGGTGTTTGGGCTCCTTTTGCTACATTATTTCCATACATTGTTCTGTCTCAGTTATTCTCTCCCTAAGCACTTTGTACAGGGTCTAGCAGTAAAGGAACTAAAATAAGTCATTTTGTAAATGAATGAAAGCAAGGAACAAATGAAAGATCTGAGTCATTGCTTTGTGGTTACAAAAAGACAACTTTGGACGTAAGGTTACTTTACAGCTTGAGGGTGTAGTTATGGATGTGGGAGGGAAGGGATGGTAGGGGAAAAACAAAGGAGGAGGCAACAATGCTCAATAGGAAATGTGCTCATTACCTTGCTCACATAACTGAAACCCCTCTGTACAGTATTTTTACAGTAAAAAATTGTACAAAAAATAAATTTCTGGAACTGGTCATTAGCATTATAACAAGTTGCTTCAGGAGAGAGAGGTTAATGAACAAAGGCTCATCACAAAGGGCTGCAGGCAGATTCATGCCTGCATGTTTTAGAATGGGGAACACTACCAGCTGTCATAGAGGTCATATGGGAATTTAGAAGTTTACAAAGATAAAATGTAGAAATTTAGAAAGATTAAAAACAGCTGAACAGTTAAAAATATATCAATCCAAGAGTAAACGGGGAAGTCTCAGAAATTTCAGAAGATCAAAACCACCCAGTACATAAAGTATAATAAGTTAGAAATTAGTAACAAAAAGAGGACTATACCAGATGACTTCAGAATCCTTCTCACAGCCCCTCTTCATCTCTGCCCTTCATACAGTGGCAGGGCTTTAAATGCTCTTCTGTATAGTCTCTATCAGGTATTACTGCTTCTTTTTCCCCTTCCATAATTTATTCAAGAAATATTTGCAGAACTGAGCCCATACACAGGTAAAGCATTGTGCTGGCCTTATAACCCATGGATTCTGCCCCCAAGCAGTTTATATGTGGTAGAGAAAATGTACACATGGGGATAAATTAAGTCTATATTAGGATATTGCTATATTATACAAATTGATGGAGTTTCTATTAGAATAGTTGTATGTCACACAGTACACTGTTTCCTGTGTGATACTTCTATCCTCACAACAGCCGTCTTAGCAAGGAAGAAAGGATCCAGTATTAGAACTTTTACTTCCATTTATTTCCATATTCTAAACTGTTTCCCCCAAATCCTAGTGAGTCCTTTTTTTCTAAACTCAAGTAATTTGCCCCTCATCTCACAGCCTTAAATTCCCAGAATGAATCAGACTTCAGAGCTGATGCCCATCCCAGCTTCAGTGAGATGCACTCTTCTGAATTCATTAAGTTATAGGGAAATAAGGTTGACAGACAGTTAACTAAGTAGAAGAACACAGAGGAAAGGATTCAAAAGGAAAATTGAAGCACCATATAGAAGGTGGTTGTATTGGTGACAGAGGAATAAAGAGGCAGAAGAAAAAGGAGGAATGGCAGGAGTAGAATTGGGCTGCAGGGCATACAGGGGATATAAACCCAACCTTCTCTGGGGGCAGGACATTAGAGGGAGAGTGGCTGGAGGTAGCCACCAAATAGGGCAAGGGGACAAGAGCAGGTTGTACCTTCACTATGCGGGGCTTCCTTCAAAAATGGAAAGAAACCTTATCTCAAACAACCCCCTGACCCAGCTTCTAGTTTACCAGCCCCTCATAAAATTGTTGCTTTTGTACTTTGAGAACTTAATAGATTTATACTCCTCCTCAGCAACTACTAGAGAGTGGAAACCACATCTTGAAGAATGGTGCATACTTTATACCACTACCTAATCATGACTTATAGTATGCCTTTTTAAGTTTTATTTTGTGTGTTTGTTTTGCAGTACTGGGATTTGAACTCTGGACCTAATGTTTTCTTGGCAGGTGCTCTACCGCTTGAGCTATACCCTCAGTCCTAATTGTTTTATTTTAAATGAGGAAAAAAATAAGTCATTTGTCTTTCCCCTAAGCAATACTCATACAAAACATCTACTACTATTTGACCACTGTTTTCTTTTCTTTTTTTTTTCTTTTTTTTTTTTATTGTGAACATACTGTACAGAGGGGTTACAATTACATGGGCAGGATAATGA